GTTAATTATATTCTTGATTTCTTGTTTTTAGTATTTTAGTCTCTTTCATATCATAAAACTATGTATTTTTTTGATAACAAAACAAATACATAAAAAATATATTATTTTGTTTTTGTTTATGAAAATATTTTTGATACAATTAGTTTTTTATTTATTTATATTTTTAGTCATTATAATTTTAGTTTCTTCTAAGTTCGATTTCTACCATTAACATCATTCAAGTGCAAGTCATTGAATACCATTCACCTACAAAAATTTCAAATTTTTTCTTCATTAGAGGCAAATGATTATATTTTTCATAGGTACAAACAATTAATTATTTTTAGGCTATTTTTATCAAACAAATGTAATTTTTTCAAAATGCCATATAAAAAAACTTATTGTAACACTTTTCTTTTAAAATATCATTTAAAAACACATGTTTTTTCTAAAACACAAATCCGAAAAGACGTCATATAAAAACATCATTTTCAAAAATGTTATCTATACTATATTATAAAGCATTTGACAAAAACTCTTAAACCATTTTTATGCATAAAGTACTGTTTATTAATGCATGTTATTTAAAACTCAAGATTACAAGTAGATTGTGCATAAGTACAACTTATTAAAGCTCCATATCTGAATTCATGTAACTAACTGCAGATAAACATAATCAAATACAGGATAAACATCTCATTTTAAATATAAAAAATCTAARATATAATTAGAATAATCACTGAGTTCTAACATAATACTTAATTATTATTTTTATAAAATGTTATATTATTAAACTAAAAATAAATTATAATAAAAAAATAAATTAAAGAAATAATATAAAAAATGAGAACTTTTAAATAGTTGATTTGATATTAACATTCATATATTTTTTTCAAATTTCTATGATATCTTCAAATTTATATTTTTATTCAGAAATAAAATCATTATTGCTTTCTTAAAAACACATAAAATCGTATTATAACATTGATAAAGACAAAAAATAAAATAGAACATTAAAATCGAGATGTGTCTCGTTGTATTGCGCGGTACTCTTCTAGTATTAAAAATTGGACACTTTATTCTAAAAAGCCTCATTAAAATTTTCTAAAAACATTCTACAAACTTATTGTAATACTTTTGTATAAGACATGCATTTGTCCGATACAATTGAATGACTTATATGACCAAATAATTGTATGTTCTATTAATAAAATCACATACATTTATTTGGTAAAAATAGCATAAAATAGTTGATTATTTAGTTTTATAAAAATTTAATCGTTTGGTCCTTAATGAAGAAACAAGAATTAACATACCATAAAGTGAGCAGTACTGAACGGCTTGCACTTGAATGATGTTAGTTACAAAAATCGAACTAATAAGAAGCTAAAACTATAATAACCAAAAATATGAAAAAGCAAATTGTATGAATTTAATCATTTTATCATAAACAATAACAAAATAATATGATTTTTTATATATTAAAATTATATAGTTTTATTAATTTAAAAATGCTAAAATATCATAAAGGAAACCAAAAAGATATTTAATAAACCAAAAACAAAAAAGAAACAATCAAAAAGATTAATATATCCCTAGGTTAAATGGAAGATTTTTAACAGATTTAATCTTAGGAACGAAAATTACAATAAATTATAAACCATAAGGAAGAAAATAGCAATAAATTGTAAAGTCTAGGGACGAAAATCGTAGAAACTTGATTAAATAAAAAAATATTCAATATTGTGCTCATTGTGAAAGTAGTGACGAGACGATTATAATGAAATAATTTGTAAATAAATGTATTTTTACACATTTTACTTCATATATATATAAAGGTTGGTTCAAATATTAACCAAGAATTTTGTATTAACTATACTAACCAAAAATAACCAATCAAATTCTTTCTTTACTTTATGTTTAAATGTAACCTATAAAATTAATACAAGGGTGATTATGTAATTTAACCATTATGTAACTCCCTAATATTTAATTGGGAGTTACAAATCTTTGAAGATCCCTCAATTTGCTCGGTAGATAATTATGAATTCTATCTCATTCATCTTCATGATTGTGATGTCAAGTGATGTTATACACATAATTATATTTGTTGTGTTAGTGTAAAAGATTTCCGTATCGTCCGAGTAATATGGATAATACTATAGTAAATCATATTGATAACAATGGAAATGACGAAGTTAAACATGGATACGACTACGTGTAAAGATAATGATCAAAGCGTGTCGATTGGTAAGTGATTAATATGACATTTATTTTGTTTAATTGGACAACTATTACCATTGTAAAGATGATTCTTGTGTCCAGATTTAATACAATCAGTATGGAAACCAAATAGGGTGTGTAAAGAGCATAGTTTGAAAAATATGTTTCAAGTTCTGTAATGATGAAGAGTGCTGAATGAAATGCATTGAACAGCTATTAACATTGTAATAGAAATCCACTCGGCTGCTGTTTAAGCATCAATTCTCATATGAAATATGCAAGGCAGTAACATTATAGTGAAGCATTAACACATATTAAACTGCACAAATCAAATAGGCATAGATGTTATGATACATTATTGTTCAGCTGTATGAATTGCATTAGATTTTCATATTTACACACATGAACAATTACATCACTTGTCATGAGATAATAAGACTTACAGACACACACAACATATGAACACATAGCACAGGCCGAATTTGTTCATATCGATACACATGTTAACTACATCACATGTATATGAACAGGATGTTGGGGTAGTATGTCATGTCGTTGTTCATATCGATACATATGCACAAATAGTGAACATGAACATATGATTAGGCCATGTGAGAGCTGTGAACATATGTTACTTTATCTTTTGGTCATTCATTTGAACATATAACCAAGACTTTCGTGTTACCTTTGTTAACCGATATTGGTTGTTGATTTGAACATCTAACGGCTGTGATTTGAATAAGGATTTTGGGTAGTATGTCATGTCGCTGTTCATATCGGTACATATGCACAATTACTTCACATGGGATATATGATCAGGCTCCGTGATTGCTGTTAACATCTGTCCATCACAATTAGTCTCTTGTCTAGCAACGGTGAAATGGAGTACACTATCATAAGTGACTACGTCCATTGTCCATCCCAACTGCTATATTAGCTTATTCCTTTGCGTTTCATCCATTTCTAGGTGTTTTAACCGCCTACATCATTCTAAGATAATGTAATGAGAAATCACTTATTCAAATGGTCAGATGTACACACATTTTTTTACGCAATCTAGAAGAGAACGGTCATATACGCACACAAATAAAATCTGCTAATACGTGTGAAACTGTGTACATGTGCACAAACTTCATGTGATGTTGCATGTGCATACGTGATCATGCCTTCACTCGGATAAAAAAATATGAACTTACGGGTGCTGTTCATTGTGTTAGCATGTCACTTACCGCAGTTCGATCAGGCGTTCATTACACTACGTCACGTGGTATCTGTTTACATCACACCATAGGTTGCTCCTTAATATACAAGTGGTTAGATCATTATGTAGTGTTTAGGGTCATGAATTTGTCACCTTGTTGTGTTAATTGACAACCACTGCATTTAACAGATACTAACTTCCCAAGCGTTATGTTATACATAAGCAGAAAGATTTTGTTTCTTACGTTGCTGAACGTGGAAACATTGATATCAACGCGCTATGGATACATAGCTAAGTTCTCTATTTGTAGGTTAATGTTGTTTTTAATTAGTATTTCATATGTTTGACATAACAAACAAGATATATATTTCATGTTGCTGTGAGTTCACTATACCCCCCTGGTTGTTGCCCTTTATAAATACATTCATGTTATATATACTAACTTTAACCTCAAAAACTAACTATTTGTTTTACATCAGTTCCTGATAATATAATTTCTTCACAACAAGAAATTGATTATGATATAGTCGAGAGTTCAGAAGGAATAAAGTTTTTTATCCAAAGGTCGATGACACACTTAAGCCAAAGACCAACTCACAATATGCATCTATAAATGAGGTTGAAAAGATGTACAAGACTTACGCGAACAATGCCGGCTTTGATGTTTGTATTCATGCAAAAAAAACGAACAATCACGGCGACATTCAAACTAGGTGGTTTGTCTGCAGCAGGGAGGGAAACCCAAGAAGAAAGGATTTTGATTCGTTGGATATGCATGTCGGTGAGAGGAGATACTGCAATACAAACCTCAACCGTTCTGGTTGTAATGCATGTATAAAAATACATTTGACGAAGGATAGGGCTTGTTATGAGATATATGAGTTCGTTGAGGCACATAACCATGCATTGTTCGACATTAATGATCATCGTTTCTCTCGGAAGAATAGAAAGATGAAGTATACAGACTTCAAAACTGTACTAAATAGCTCGAGTTACAAAGTTGGTGCGAGAAGGGCTCATCGTATTCAAACTACATTGAACAGGGGATTTAAACATACTCGAGTCTCTGAAATCAACTTCAAGAATTTTAAGAGGGATGTTGTTGCTTATGTTGGGAATAAGGTCGCGAAGATGTTGATCAATAAACTATCAAACAGACGGGATATTGTCCCCGGTTTTTTTTCAAATACAAGTGCAATGAACAGGAGTTGAGCGCAATTTTCTGGGCAGATGAAGTTGCTAGAATTAACTACAAAGAATTCGGAGATGTCATATCGTTTGACGGGACCTTTCACACTAACAAGTAAGCTTCCCAAGTGCAATACAGTTATTGCTTTTCATAACGTTTCGATTTTTTATTGGCATATGACGTGGCTACAAATACATACTCATAATATTTGATATGTTTTTCCATGCATGCAATGATTTTCATTTCTTTCTTGGTTGTTGACAACCATAAGGCGTCCGCTGTTGTCGGATCCGCTCTAATAAGCGGTGAGACAATTGATAACTTTTCATGGGTTCTAAAGGCTTTTAAAAATGTCATGATAAGCAACCGTTGTTCGTGATTACAGACCAATGTTCGGTGATGAAGCAGGCTATCACGATGGTTTTCACGAAAGCCAAGCATAGACTCTGTATGTGGCACATTATGAAGAAGGTGCCTTCAAAGGTAAGTAGTATATTTGAATTGTAGTGTATTTAAATGAGGTTTCCGTGTTATTCGTTCATTTGTTGAATCCTTGTAAACACAGGTTAGTGTCGCACTAAATCACGATCCTAACTTCAATAAAGTTATCAACAAGCTCGTATGGAACATACATATTGGMCCAACGGAGTTCGAGACTCGTTGGCATGAGATGATACATCAATACAATGTAGGTGGGGATACTTGGTTCACAGAGATGTATGAAATCCGACACTCATGGATCCCTGCCTATTATAAGGACACGCCGATGTATGAACTAATGAAAACAACATCAAGATCTGAGAGTTCGAATTCGTATATTAACATATACGAATCGTACTGGTTTGATTTGGTTCAATTCCTTAATAATTACGACGTAGCTATAGAGAAACAAAGATACAGACAATCTATCCACGAAACTTTCACGAGAACGACTAATCCAAATTTGCTACTCCGTTGCGTTTAGAAAGTCATGCATCAAGCATATACAGTCAAACGTGTTTTTTTGACATCCAAAAGGAAATAAAGAAGGCTGTTTGGTTTTGTACTATTGAGACCGTTGAATGCCGGGATGAGTTAAAGTCATTCGTGATAAGCCACAAGACCAAGAAATTATCTGACAAAATTACGTATCAGGTATCATATCCCTAACTCACATTCTACACACTGATTCCTATGCTTTTTTAATTTTATCTTGACTATTGTTGTTTTTACCATTCTGACATGACAGGTGTGCCGTAATTACTCAACAACCACAGTCGAATGTGATTGCAACCTATTTACGCGTAACGGGTATCTTTGTCGTCACGCGTTCAAGGTACTGATAAACAACGAAGTTGAATGCATTCCGGAAAAATATGTATTACGTCGTTGGAAACGATAGTTAGTTCTAGTACAGATACAATCCTCAAGAGTTCGTTATGGGGAGGTTGATGCCAAAAAAGATAAGTGTATAATTGATGTATATTCCAAGGTCGACGACATAGTAAGCATCACCCGCAATGATAAATCTATATTGGCTAGACTGGGGCGTAACCTCGACAAATTCATGGGTGATATAGAGAAGGAAGTTCCATACGAAGACCCATCCCAACAAAAGTTGGATGCGATTAGAGATCATCTAGGTGTTTCCATACCTAATGAGGTGGACATTCTACCACCATCTGGAATAAGGAACAAGGGTTGTGGCACTGGCAAGAGGATGGTAAGTGTATCCGAGAAAATACAAAATAACAGCAAAAAAGCAAAACGAAAATGTGCAACGTGTGGACAACGTAGTGGCCACAACTCACGTAATTGCCCAGAATTGATAGATTAGTTAGCATTCAATTACATATTTTTTGTTATATTTTCCGTTGTTTAGTTGTTGCTGTCAAACTGATGTATGTCTGTGCGACATCGTTGCCTTGTAGTTTAGATTTCGGTTAAATTGTTTTTATTCAGACTATTGGTTATGCCTTTTAGTTTTTTTATATGTCATGCGCCTTTCAGGATGTGTTTTTTTTAAATACCACATTATGTTCCAACCGTGTATGTAACACCGTGTATAACATATACACTTTTATTAACTTTTCGAGATGAAAGTATATACAGTTAAACGTATGAGCACCTACTAATATGCCACATGTAGACATAATTTAACAATAATTGTATTTTGATACAGTAACATGTAAATAACAGTAAGGGGCTCTTTGGTTGTTTGGATTAAGTCATACATGGATTAAGCTATCGGTAGKGGTGAACCAATACATAAACAAACAGMCCYTAAGTCGGTTAACAAGTTGGGCRTTGGTATAGTCACCAAATAACTCACTAAATCCACATAACTAATCACATTATCAAAAAGTACAACCGTATCAACTGTCTAAACTTTACCATGTAGCACCTCGAGCTAGCGGAAAGGATAGGATAGCTTCAATTTTAGTTAGAATTTCACAATATATGTCAATACCTGCCGCAAAAGTAATTGACCAAATATACCAACAGAAAACCATCTTATGTAGATGTTCTCCAAACTATAAGATTCATCATGTTGGTCAAAAGACAAACTTCATTTAAAAAAAAAACATGATGTAGTTTGATGTCCAAAAACTGTTGCCCTAACATAACTGAAGTAGAGAATAAAGTTTAAAATAAAAACTAGAAATATTATAATGTCAACACCAACTACAAATTCCATCTACCCTTTCCCCCGACCTATATGTGTATCACCACGCTTCTTTTTCACATTGTATGACGTCTCCATTGTGATGAATCGATGTACATCTTTTATGACCGCACTCTTTCTGATGTTCTCCTCACTGAGTATGAGTTTGGAGCAATACTTAGTCCGCAGATCCTTGAGTTGCCTTTTTTGCTTCATGCTCTCCTTATAGAGACCATAGTCCCATTTCCCACTGTCATCTCCAAAAAAGGTCTCCATATGTCACATGAGCATTACACCATAGTCGATCGATCCTTCACGGGACTGCCACCTGGTTCGGATCTGTTCCTAGTCCATTTTTGCATATATTTTACCAGCCTCATGTACCTCTCTCATTAGATGCATAATCAGCATATCTTGCTAAATAAATCATAAATAAATCAAGTTAGTTATGGTATATATTGTGCATGCAGAATGTAAGATCAATAATAAAGTATACTAACCAAAGATACGGTAATAGATCCATAGATATCTTCAATCATGCCATCACGATCCGTAGAGTCAACAATCATGATTAATGGGTGCTTTAGATCAAACACTACCATCTAATAGTAAGCATCTTCTACAATCCGGAAAAATATCTATAGAATGAATATGTAACCTAGTTGTTAGTATTTCAATACGCTTTCAGGTATTGTACAATAATCTTCATAACAAAACGTGATACGTACCATGTCAACATTACGCATACCGATAAGCCCTTTGTCATTGAGTGTATAGCTTGATATGATATTTTTGAAATTCTGGTACCTTTTGTGCACATTCAAAGATTGATCTCTCATGATTGGATCCATCTGTGCACAACCAATGTAGTTAGTTTCAATTAACAAAGACGTCTGTTCTTTGTCGATTTTACATAAGAAGTATTAACATATGAAACTGTACAATTCAAATAGGCAAAGATGTTATGATTCATTATTGTTCAGCTGTATGAACACGCGGCATAATTGAAATGTTGACGCACATGAACAATTACATTACATGTCATGAGATAATAAGACTAAAGGACACACACAACGTATTAACAACTAGCCCAAGAAGAATTTGTTCATAATGGTTCGTATGCACAACAACATCACATGAATAATAACATGATTTTGGGTAGTATGCCATGTCGTTGTTCATATCCCGTCATATGAACAAGTAGCTCAGTTGAATATATGATCAGACTCGATCATATTTGTGAACAATGTTAAGAAGTATCTGAAGACGTATGTTCACAAGGTCGACATATTGTTTGCGGTAAAGTGACATATGATCAGTCTATGTGATTACTGTGAACAATTATTCCACATTAGTCATATTGTCAGTCTTTGTGATTGCTGTGAATAGTACTCCATCACAGTTAAAAAAACCTATAGGTGTGTGTACGTTTCTCACGTCCGAAATCTCATATGTCGACCGAGATATGTCAGCTGTGAACAATGTCATGAGGTCTTTGAGGAGGTTAGTGAACTCGGTGGACATATTGTTCGAGGTAAAGTGACTTCGTACGGGCACAACTGAACACATACGCCCACCTTTTGCATTAACATTAAGTCAGGTGTGCGTAGATTAACATGTTTGGATTCACACAGTGTTGATGAATGAATCCACATCTGTCGTTTCCCAGTGAACTTATAGTTCAACATAATGACCATCTGTGTGCACAACAGGTGGGAAGATAGGGTGGCAGCGGGTCACGTAATCGGCCTAATGAACCTATAATCTCGAGTTTGACTCGACAGTGTTACATTTTGTTTGACATTTATTTGATAGGTCAAGCCTCGAGTTGAACTCAATAAAAATCCGGTTTGCAACAGTATCGTTGTAAACATGTATAATAAAAAAATCTCAAATTAAAATATGGTTTCTTTCTCTCTCACAAACACAAAACATTGATTTATAAGGTATTCAATAAAAATGACAAGAAGGTTGAGAACGTACGATTCAATGATTCATATGTAAATCACTGGTAAAAGAAAATTAGAGGTAACATATGCAACTTTGTATGTAAATAATTGGTAAAAATGTAGGTAAGTGAATATTAGAATATGAGTTCACATATGTATTTTGCAATATATTTTTTCGGGGTTACCTATTCACACATGAATCATTTACTCTTCCGGTGAAATCAACAGGAAGATGCATGTGTACATATCAATAACATATTAACATATTAACACACACAACATATTAACAAATAGCACAAGCAGATTTTGTTCATATCGTTTCCTATGCACAACTACATCACATTAATATGATCAGGAGCCTTATCATATGTTCATGTCGTTGTTCATATTACCACATAGAGCCTGATCATATTAACACATAGAGCCTGATAATATGTTCATACGGTTGTTCATATCGAAACATAGGCACAAGTAGTTGAGTTGAACCTAAATCACAGAGCCTGATCATATGTTCAACTGATCAACTTGTTCATATGTATCGATACGAACAACTGCATGACCATATGTTCAGTCTCTTTGATAACTGTGAACAATGTTATGAGGTATGTGAAGAGGTCTGTTAACTCCGTGGACATATTGTTTGAGTTAATGTGACTTCGTATGGGCACAAATGAACACATACGCCCACCTTTTGCATTAACACTTAGTCACGTGTGCGTAGATGTCTACTTGTGGATTCATACAGAGTCGATGAATGAATCCACATCTGCTGTGTCCCAATGAACATATAGTTCAACGTTTTGAACATCTGTGTGCACAACAGGTAGGTAGATAGAGTGGCAGCGGGTCACATAATCGAATGAATGAACATATAAGTGAACCAAAATCGACTAATGTGCATGAAAAATGTTGACAGTTGTTACTTTGATTTTGGTCGTTGGTTTAAACATCTACATGTTGTGATTTGAATAAGTAACTTGGGTAGTATGTAAATTTACCGAAACATATGTCGGATAGAAAACGCGGCATGGAGATTCATGGCTCCTTAATCTCTCTTCCCTGTTGAGGACTGTTGACCATGCGTCCAAAACATCTTTGCAAACCCGGGACTAGGATGCAAGTGATTGCATTGCCTTCCGTGTAACTGTTCGTCCATTTGGTGAGGAGAAGACTGGCTCACTGCATAGTTACATTCAGAATATTATGTCATCGAGTCATAAAAAATATATTTGTTATAAAAAAATATTAAACATTTCAATAATGTGACTTACATAATTCCCCCGATCCCTCGCATTACCCACTCTTGTAACTTACGTTCATCATTAGTTACGTCAAACGTAACAGCCCATGAAACATAAGGTGACCGTGTTGATCCTCTCTCTCAGTGATTTAATGATAATCCCTTTTTCCTTTTCGATGTATTTCTGTATCTGTAATTTCAGTTCCAGCGATCATACACTGAGCTTGTTCAGTGATCGCTGAAGAACTTGTTTTGAAATTCATTCAGAGACAACGATACTTCAAGAAATCAACACTCACACCAAAGATCCTTCAGCAAACGTCGAAGACTGAAACTGAAGATTAGAGACTGGCGCGTAC